CTCCTAGCCAGCAGCGGGGCTCACGGCCACGGGCTGCTGCCCCAGAAGAGGGGACTCGCCCGGTGCAGCCCGAAGAGCCGACGAGCTGAGCTCAGAGTCTGCCGTGGTGCCAGGGCCAGCAGGGTACACGTGACGGCTGGCACCACACAGCACCCGTTCAGGATGGTGAATGCTGCCTTGGGAACCCCGATCTCGCCAGACTTACCCACGGCACCGCCCTGCTGTGAACCAGCCCCGGGCAGCACCAAGCCAGGTCTCCGTGGAAGTGATGGTGAGCAAACCAGCTCCACCCCAACAACGTCCGCTCCGGGCCTCGGATTCTGCCCCACGTCACAAGGAAAGGCCAGGGCTCTGCACGCGCCTTTCCCATGCCCAGGAGCTTGGCAAGGCAGAGCGAAGGGAGCACAGAGCCCACGCCCCGTTCATGCCATTAGCAATGGTGCTCACACATCCCCTGCCCATAGACCTGATGGAGCCGGGCGTCACCCCAAGTGCTCCTGGCTGCCAGCTCAATTTAACGACTCCACCGAGCCGCTCCCTGTAGGGCTGCCCTGGATTTGAACCCAGCCCCTTAGGGCGAACTACCAGAAATGCTACCCGCTGGGCCCCACCGTCCAGAACCCAGGTCTGTGCCCGCCAGGTGTCAGGAGAGGGGCCCGATGCAGCCCCATGGCCCCGTGCGACTTGGCTGGGAGCTGTCTCCCCACATGGGGCTACGCCGAGCTGTGCCTTCGCCTGCCCTACAGACCGGAGCCCAGCGCTGAGCAGGCGGCGGGGGCAGAAGAGGTGAGCTATGAAGAGGAGGAGGAGCGTGCTGGGATCTGATGGAGTCACCGGAGCGGAGATCGGGGACAAAAGGCAGCCTGGCAGGGAGCCTGAGCTGGCCTGGATGTCGCAGAGGAGAAGGCTCTTCTATCCCTGCAGGCTGCCAAGGACAGGAGCCCGGCCCGCTAGCTCAGCTGTCCCTCTCTCGCACAGGCAGGGACCATGGCAGAGGCAGGGAACGGGGAGGGCAGCCTGGCAAGTTGCAGCAGCAGAATCCGGCCCCATTGCGGAGCTCTGGCCAGGGACACGCAGGGGGCTCTCGGCCCATCTCCAGCTCTGCATCCTGGAGAAGCTGCGCTCTCTGCCTTGGGGGGGTGGGGGCTGCTAACAAAACTGCGGGGACCACGGCACACAGACCACCTCAGCCGCAGCCCCACTGAGCAGAGCTCCCTAGAGCTCCAAGCCAGCAGCGACCGGTCAGTCTGACCCCCGGGGGAACCCAGCCCTCGATCCCTGCCTCCAGCCTCCTAGAGCTCCAAGCCAGCAGGGACCCGTCAGTCTGACCCCCGGGGCACCCAGCCCTCGATCCCTGCCTCCAGCCCCTAGAGCTCCAAGCCAGCAGGACCCGTCAGTCTGACCCCCGGGGAACCCAGCCCTCGATCCCTGCCTCCAGCCCCTAGAGCTCCAAGCCAGCAGTGACCGGTCAGTCTGACCCCCGGGGCACCCAGCCCTTGATCCCTGCCTCCAGCCTGCACTTGGGGTGGGGCTACAGCCCGTGTTAGAGATAAAGCCTCCAAGTGATGGAGAACCCAGCACACCCCCGGGGTGGGTTAAACCCAGCTAATTATCACCACTTCCAATTGTGTATCTTAATTCCTGTCTGACCTTCGCCCTCCCAGAGCGGCCAGTCCCAAGCACGACTTGTTCCCATACGTCCCTCACTGGCCCAGAGCCACTTCTCACCCCGGGCTGCCTTCAGGGGAACGCGGTTTGATGTGGGGGCGCTGCCTGCAGCAATACGCCCACCTAGAGGGACAGTGACTCGCCGCTAACACCCGGGGCACCAGAGCGGGAGGGCGAGGCTAGAACCAGACACACCGACCTGCCGCCTTTGTGAGGAGCGAAAGCTCTCAGTTGTGTATGAAAAACGGAACCTGTGAGAACGAGGGAAGGAAAATTGATACAAAAAAAACCCTGTTGTGCTTAAAAATCAATTTTTAATATCTCCAGCCACATTTTAGCTCAAAGTCAATTTTTCACCTAGAGGACAGGTCATTATTTTTTTTAAATATTTGTCTCCCTGCATCGCCTGCCGGATCTGATTTCTCCCCACACTCTGAGCGGCTGGGGAACGGCTCTTCCCAGGAAGGATTGGGTTATAAATTAGCCAGAACCAAATTTACTCAACCACTCGGCCCAGCCCCGTGGAAATCCTGAGCCTCGAGCCGGGCTTTAATGCTGAACATTAGCGTTAAATGGCTCCTCCCTTCAGGCAGGCGGGAGATGAGCAGACAGGCTGGGCCCAAGCCGCGGAGACCGTTCCATTATGCATCGGGGCAGGATTTCTCTGCATCAATCACTCACAGCAGTGGGGGCCCAGCTTCGTCAATGGCACTCAGGCGGTACCAGCCCACCTCCATCGTGTGTGGGTCCAGGGCCCGGCTGGCTGGAGCCCCCAGCGCGGGTTAGGGCAGGAAGAACCCAATGGGAGGGCACCAGGGACCAAAGCGGGGGCACCTCCCGCTGCGGAGTGCAGGGAATGGGCCAGTTGTGAGAGCCGGGAGTCCCGGTAATGCCTAGGGCTGGGCACAGCTGGGATCCTGGCTCCAGGACACCACACTCGGGGATGTTGTCCAGTGATTAGGTCTAAGCCCCGGGTTAGCCTCCCGGGGTGCGAGCAGCCCACGGCCCAGCCCTGCCCGAGTGACTGCGTCCTCACCGGTGCCGCGCTCCTGGGCGTGTCGCTGGCACTCCTAGGGGCACAGCCCAGGGTCTGGTGCTGCAGTGAGCTGAGCCGCTCTCTGATTCTTCCCCAGTGAATTGTGGGAGCACTTGTCTGTCCCGGGCATGGGGGGGGGATGGTGGGAAGGCCTTGGAGGACTAGCAGCATGCAAGTGATTTAGCCTGCGTCTGCACTGCAAAGCAGGCGGGTCACCAGCCCCAGGGAATACAGCAGCTGGGCTCGCCTAGGGGGAGAGTTTTGTGTGTGGCTGGGAAGGGGCTTGGGAGCTGGCACTGTGGGACGAAAACCCTCGGGGAACGAGAGGCTACAGGAGCAGTCTCTTGTGCATGCTAGGAGCAGGGTGCTGCACACACAGGGAGGCCAGAAGCAGAGCCAGCAAAACCCCTTCGCTCTGCCCCACCACTATTCCTGGCTGGTTCGAGGGCAGGCCAGCGCTCCAGAACAGGCCCCAGTCAAACCCCCGCTCCCCAAAGCGCACACATAGCCACTGCCCGTGGAAGCGAACGTTCCCGTTTATTTAGCTCTCGGTGCTATGCCGAGACCCCCACTGACAGTGCTGGGCTCAGCGATGCTCCACAGGACACGTGGCACCTGCAGGCTGGCTCAGCGGCTGTGCTCCGCCCTCATACCACAGCAGACCCCGCCCCCCCGCC